TATTCAAGGTAAGCCGCATATTTACAACCATAAGTCTCAGAAAAAAGCCACATCAACGCCGGTAGACTGTCAACAGTGTATGAGTAAAGCCATGTCAGTGTTTTGCGCTCGGTGGAGCACATTGCCAAAATAGTGTATAAAGCGAAATTGCAATGCTTTCTGGGTTAGTATTTCCGAAGGCCTTTGGCCGATTTCGAGTTCAACACATTTAACGAGAAAACGTTTCAGTTGGTTAAGCTCTTATTATCGCTCTTTTAATTTGAAGGAAACTTGTATTTGGGGAACAACAAGGAACACTTAAAATAAACGGACTACATTTTTAATAAAGAAAAGTGTTTTCTTCGGGGCGAATCATTTTAGCGTCAATAGTGATGTAATTCGGGTATTCTTTTTCATAATGACATACTAATTAATTTTAATTAAGGATTAACACCACAGTTCGTTGCCATTTCTGTTTAATAAATTCCACAAATGACGTTATCAACTTTTTTGAGACGGATTTTGTTTTTCTAATTGAATCTATTTTTAGGAAACTTAACACATATTTCAAGAGGACGTCACTGTTTTTGAGGAAATGGAAGACATAATTTGGTCAACGTTTTACTATCTTCACAAAAATATAATCTATATTTAAATTTCAACAAACGGACCATAGATCATTGGAAATAAGCATGTACTTTTGTACTTTAATAGGTAAAAAGTTGATGTTTCGAGGTCGAGATTTAAAAGTTTGCACAATGATAGGAACGTCTGACTTTTCATAACGCGAAGTGTGAAATTTATTGAACTTTTAAATTAAATTTCATTGTGAAAATTTTCCTGTGGGTATTAATCGAGAAAAGTTTAGACTCTAAACAAATTTTGAAGAAATAAGTAACTGTGTATTAATTTCTTATGGAAAATATATTTTCGTTACTAATATAAAGCCTTACATTTTTTTGTGAACGACATGAATTCTGTAACTGCACAAAAATCCATCCGGTGAATGGCTACTTTCATGTTTGATCATCCCCACTAACAACTCGATAACATCACCTCAAAATAGTTCTTAGTAAATGCTATTTAAATTTTATAAAATAACTTGTGGTTTATGAATCTTCCAGGTTTTTGGCCTAGACACTTTGACACCAATATTATTTTGAAATTAAGTTGCAAAATGCAATACGAAATAATAGAAAATAAACTGGAAGTGTATATATGCTCGGTAGAAAACTTTGATATAGATAAATCAGTTAAAACTACGACAATTTTTCGTCCTTTCCTAGATAGTTGTTCAAAAGTATAGATAAACATCGAACAAAGTAATAAACCGACATCGGAAATGTATGGCATCGATTCTACGAGTCATCGTTAACTTTATTACGTGAACATTTTGCTTGGATATCGACCATTATTGAAAGTTAGTTTTAGCTTTGTTTGATTTACATTCGTTGATTAATGTAACAGAAACCTTATAAAACCAATCCGTAGTCAATATGTTATAAAGAATAATGTATGAAAAACTTCGCAAATAAATATTTCTGCTTTAGATTTATGGACAGTTGTTCAAAAATAAAGAAAATTAAATTAGAAACTTTACCACACAACTAAATTTAAAAATTTTCGGTTCATCCTAATTTTCAAATTTAAAAATGTCATGAATAACGTAATATAAAAAGTCCCTACCTATATGTGGATGTATATACAGGAAGAGTCACAAAGCCTGAATTCTTCCATATCTTGTGAATTATTAGAAATAGAAAAAAGAGTCAAAAACCGAAGTTGCACGGTTCTTTGAAGACTATACTCTAAAATTATTTTAACTACATACTGTTCTGTTTTTAAGACGTAATGCACAATTCAGGTTTTAAATGAAACACCTTATACATTTTTATACATTTGACTGATCTCCTGTTAGGCTTTATAACCGTAGTATTCCAATATTCTTGAAATGTCTTAGCAATGGAAGGGTTCACATAAAAAAATTTCAAATAACGATTTCACGGTTTTTTCAGATAGAACACCCTATATTTTATTACTGTATCGTCTATTTTTTGTTCTCTTCCTTTTATGTTACGTTTTACTTTTTTGAAAAAAGTTGAAATGTTGACATTTGAAAATTGTAAAGTTCATTTTTTTATAAACCCTCTGTATATTGAAATTTGATTTAATTCATACTACAACAAAACGTGTACCTTTATTTATCTTTCCACAAAATATTGCAAAATAGATTTTAAAAATAATTGTGCTTCTTTGTGAGCCGTTCGATTGCCAAAAATTTTAATTAAATTGAAATAATGCGGTTACGTGGCATTGGAATTTCAAAAATAAATTGTAGTTATAAAATCTTGAAAGAGGCTAATGAGAATATGCAAAAATATATGCACAGTTAAAAATAATTTTAGAATATAGTCCTCTAAGAATTGCACAACTTTGACCTTTGACTGTTTTTTATCCCTAATAATAATTAACGAGGCATCGTGGCACTTAGTGACTGACTGTGTATAATTCAAGAATTGGTCGAAAATTATTTAAACAGAACATCCGTCGTCTCTGAAGTAGAATCAAACAAATAAAGTTCTTTAGATGAACTATAAAATTTTGCGAATTCAATTTTTTTTGAAGACTCAAAAAAAATCTTACGACAAAAAAGGACACAAAAGAGCCACAAAAAATGCGAAACATATGTAGAAAGGGAGACAAAAACAAGCATAAAAATGCGAGAAATCAATTCCACAAGAAATACGAAAAAAAGGCAATTAAAAAAGTGACGAAAAAGCCGATAAAAAAAGGTCAAAAAAAAACAATAAGAAAGTCCATGAAAATTAACAAAAAAAATTACAAGAAAAGATACAAAAAGACAAAAGTCTCCCAAAAAAAGGGGTCAAAAAATGCGAAAACAGGGAAGTTAAAAAATCATTAAAAAATATGAAAAAAGGAAAAAAAAATGACTAAAAAAAGGACCAAAAACGCTACAGAAAAATCCGATTAGAAGCAGAAAGTTAAAAAAGGCGACAGAAAAATGTCACATAAAACGTGACAAAAAAACGCTGCTAACCAGAGGGCAAAAAATCTACAAAACCCAGGACAAATAATAATTAATACAAAAACAATTACAACCCATATAAGTTAAAAAAAAAGATATCTCTGGATTGTTACTACGGGTAAAGAAGAATGCCATCCACTGATAGAAATGAAATCTCCAGGGCAGCAAATCCCAAAGGGGCGCAAATTCCAACTACGGACAATATGAAATATATTTAGAGCAGATAATAATCAATGGGAAAAGATGTATTGTAGACAAAGGAAAGGAATTAATTAAGCTAAAATGCAGCCGAACGGTCCGAATATTATTTTAGGTGAGTAGCCGTTATTATGACAATTCATATTTTACAATAAGTAAATATGGGCGGGTGCGACGTTAATGTATGCTTTCATTTTTAAGAAAATGCGGTGAATCGTTCTTGCTTTGTTAAAAAAAAGAAAAAAGTCTGGATACAGAGATTGAGTTCGAACCTGGACCTTTCAATTCCAAAGCGGGCGCTCGATTATCTGCTCCACTAGACCCGCATGTCGAAATTCGTGTAATGAATCTAAAATAAAGAAAGAATTAAACAATAGAAATTATAATAACATCTAATAAACACAATCAAAGTGGATACATAAACCACCAGTACAGGAGTACATTATTTTATAAAATTTATGTATCGTTTTACACATAAAATTGCTGGTGGGGATGATTAGTCAAATTTTGGTTAGCTCTTTAGCATCTACGGCATTCCTAATATATTTCCAATAATAATAATTTGGCAATAATCACACAGACAACAGACAGACAAATAGACAAATAGAGCTATTTTTTCATGGACTATGGGTCATAAAAATTCGAGAAAACATTCAAGTAGCCAATCGCCCGATGTAATCTATTACAATATTTCGTTAGCTTACGCTTGAAAAGTAAAAATGACTACAAAGTACACAAATGGTGCACATTTTTAATCTCAATATTTTTTATTATAAACGTTATCTTTTAAGTGTTTGCGTAAAATGAAATATACTGGAATTTCAGTTTCTATAACGACAGTTCAATACTTTACTGAGTGAGCTAAAATTTATTCTACTGGAAATGTTTTAAAGTCAAATTGTACAAATTAACCATATGATTCAACAGGTGGCCAATTGTAAAAACCGTAGTGTTAATAATTCCAAATAAATGGTCTTATTGGCTGTTTTAATGATTAGTCCTCAGTGTATTCTTTATACGACAAGTATGTCAACATGATTTAGCACACTTGATAGCAACGGTTTGAATTTGAGTAGTTACAGATTTTAAAAATTTTGAGTACTTACTCATTTTATTGTTTTACATTTTTCTAGTTCTCAAATCATAGAAAATCAACACTGTCAGTCAAAATTTAGATTTCATATTCAGTCTGCAAAATTACATTTTTAGCTCTTGATATATTTCAGGATAGTGTACATGAGGCATGAAAAACTAACTTGCCAGATCAGTTGTTCAAAAAATGATATGATCAGGGTATAAAATGATAATAACAAAAGGTTATCTCACCTGACCTAGACGCCTGTAAGTAAAACTCTTTGTAAATTTTTGGTTTCCATTTTAAGGAAGTGGAGCTGAAATTTTTTTAAGAACATCGTAGACCTAATAGTGAAACTGAAATCTTCATCAGTTTTCACTTGATGTCTAAAACCGTTTACAACTGACTAAAATAGAAAAGAAAATTTTTGTTGAAATATAGTTACCCATTAGTATTATTATCGTCATCAACAGAACTGTTTTCCTTGATGTAATTAATCAAGAAAATTGCTTACACTATTATAATTCACTCTCATATTAACTACTATTTTTTAGAAACGTCTCCCAGGAGTAGTTGCACTATGTGAACTGTTTGATAACCACACCAGCATTGCCTGAAATAATGTTTGCCTTCAACCTTAATGTCCCCCAATCCCCCAACTCAAAAATAAGAGCCTTTATAAATTGTAAACATTGTATTTGCTCTATTTTTTTAAATTTTAACAATAAATATATTACATAATGTACTTAATATTACAGCCTTAGCACAGTCCTTCAAATCTAGTATCTGTATCCTCCAGCGCCTCCAGCTCCTCCAGCTCCTCCTGCACCAGGTCTAGGAGCGATGTACTGGTTAGCTACAGCAGCTCCGCCACCTCCACGTCCTCCGGCACCTCCAGCACCACCATCACCTTGGTGTTCAGCGCGGTAAGTACCATCATCGACAATACCAGCGGCCTCATCGGCGGCGTTCTGCTCCAAAGATTTCAAGATTTCTGGGGGAATTGGGGGAGCGACGGGGAGGTGAGCTCCTTGGGGTTGGAAACCGTTCTCGTCAGCAGTGTAGGAGATGCTGTAGGTAGCGCCATCGTCGCCGGTGTAGGAGAACTGTCCCAGGACGGCATTGATTTCGTTATCGCTACCAGGGTTCTTCAGCTGGCCGGATTCCTCGTGAGTGATGCGGTTCTCGGTTTCGTAACTACAAGAAAAATTAGCTTTTGCGATAAACCTTCGCTCCTACTTACTTGAATTTGTAGGAGCCGTCGCCGCTGTTGTCGTTATCGAAGCGGACGATCCCGGCGTTGGCGTCAGCAGAGCCGCCACCGCGGCCTCCGGCGCCACCGCCGCGGCCTCCAGCGCCGCCGGCGCCTCCGGCACCACCGGCACCACCACCACCTCCACCGCGGCCGCCACCTCCAGGACGCGGTGCGTTGAGGAAGCTGGAGCTACCGCCGGCGGTCTGGGCGCTGCTCGGGGGCAGGTAGGTGTTCTCCAGGCGGTCGGCCACCGCCAGGGCGAAGAGGGCTGAGACTAAGAACTGAAGGGGAGATTAATACGAGCACTGCACGTCGCTGAATCCGCTTACCAATTTCATAATTATTCTTATTTTGTTTATGGCTAACTAAGTGCGAATGATGCTGGTATGAAGATTCCTTTCGCTTTTATACTTAGAGTACCGAGGATGAGTCTGGCTGGGATGATATACTTTGTATCAATTTAGGAATATTTCGTAACTGGGTATTCAAGGTAAGCCGGGTTAAAATCGTAATAAGTGATTTTAATAATTCTTAAGAAAGGTTACTGATGATGCAAAGACATATCGGAGATCATCGTAGCGATAAAAAAATTCAAATGTCCGAGTAATTGAGTCTGGAGGCGATCCGAATTTCTATATATCACACTGGCAGCACTTAATTAGCCGATTAAACCACTAAACAACCTTTAAAGATGATTAAACTAGTTCGTGTAACTATTAATTTTAGCATTGAGGACCAACATAAATAATTCATTTTAAATCATCTCAAAAATGTGGATTATGGTTTTGCTTTTAGGTAAAACACGGCGTTTAATCGACGTTTTTAATAAAAATTTCAAGCATCGCCCGAGACATTCAACTTTAGTGGTAAACACAATCCTTCCGCGTCCTTGTGCCTTTTTTCTCACTATTAACAACTTTGTTTCATTGTTACGAATTAAACAAGTTTTGTAGCTTTTGTAACGGAACAAAGAATTAGAGCTTTCTCAAATTACGTGCTTGCATGTGCGCGACGTAGCTTAAAGCTTTTCAAGATTTAATTCAAGGTAACAAAGTGATGCTTGCAACTTTGCCAGACACGCCATGATATTTATTTTCTTTATACTAAACTTGCGATTCTTTACAAATGCTAATGAAATGCCAGCTTTTCCGTATCCTGAATTTGCCGATTTTTAAAATCCTCACACTTATGCCAAATTCATATTTCTATGCAAAAGGTGAATATTTAAGGAAATGTATTTTGTTATACAAGAGAAATCGTTTTGCCACTTAAAAATAAACATTAAACGTTAATGTTTTTACATCACGTCATAAAATAAAAATATATCACGCAATCGTAAATTAATTAGTTAATAGATATACGACATGTTTAAAGCTTCTTCAAGCACGAGGATTAGGTGGCCTTTTTAATTTGTTTCGTGCAACGTGCTCAAAATAACAAGACAGTTTAATAGTTCAAAAGTTTTTTATTTTGCTCTAAATAAAGTCTATATTGATTGCAAATGTTTCTGTATCAGTAATAGGATAAATGCCAGCGCGTTGAACCTTAGCGACCCGAAATTCTGATTCACTCTCACTCACGATGGATTTTTATGATGTTTAAAACATTATTCATACCTCGCTGATCAAATTTTCAATCAAAGTGTGATTTTTGACGACTTCTACCTTTCTCTTTTTCCCAATTTTATTTTTTTATTTCGTGTTATGCGTGACTGGGGCGGGTAAAGGATTTATTTATTGTTTATCTATATTTTTAAAATCGTTTTAGTGTTAAAATGTAGATGCCGCTGTGTTTACATGACTCCTGCTGAATCTAAAACCAGTAGCTTCGGAGAATATTTCTCTGTAAAAAATTTGGGTGTCAACAGTGCTCAAGTGACAAGAAACCAAGTTACAAACTTAAACAGAAATTATTATAATTATTACTTATTATTGTTACTACAATTTAATTATGAACTGTTTCTTATGCAAGAGACCACAACAAGGTCAATATTTTGTTACAACCTGAAATTTTGTGCAAATTGTTGCACCTTTTTGTGTAATTCTGAAATATGTAGCCAAGAGTTCCACAAAATGCTTTGCTGAATACGTCATAAAACTGAAACTTCGCTCGACAAATGACGCACGTAAAACTAGATTGTCACTGCGGCAGAAGAAAAAAAGTTGAACACCCTTTTTCGTTTCAATTTTTAACACGTTACAATCGTCACTGGCTAATAATAATGGAAGTACTACAGATTGTTTAAATTTTCTTGTTCAATTGTTTAAATTTTCTTGTTGAATTTTTTGGCAGTTTCTTTTAAATAAAATCGAAAATCTCATTTTAAACAAATACTACCAAGCTTAATAGCTTGATTTACCAACATCTCTTGTGCGATAGGGCTCGAAAGAACAATATTTATCGCCTCTTCGTCGAGTTCCGAATCCCACTTCTCACGCTAGTTTGTTGTTTGCACGACATTGCAATGTTTGGTTTTGAAATTGAAATCCCAAATCAAAATTAAAAAAATCTAGATCAATACCAGCCTCTACACCCACTAAACTACTTTCAGTGCTTCCAATTTCGCATCAAAACATTTTTGATTGCCAAGTTTACGTTAATTAAACCGGTCGCAACACATTAATAGTACAATTTCGTAACTCTGAAACTCGCTTTAGCTCCGCTGTGAAAACGCACTCTTTGTGTCGACGGCATTGTTTGACTTTTCCGCGCCTTGAAATTCTGCCCTTCACCTTTACGTAGGGTCGCAATTTCGCACGCTGAGAAATCCCTTACTCATGCACACACATCCTTAATTAGGACCATGCCGATGGTACGTACAGCGGTAAAGGGCATCCTTGTCATTTGCATATTGTCATTTCTATATTAGGCGGTTCCGCCCGGAGCGAAAGAGAGCGATCCGGCTCAGGCGCAACGCAAGACCGAGCGGAATTAAGGCGCATTACACAGGGCAGGAGTGAGCCCTGATGGGTCTGAATTTTTTGGTTTCACAGAGGTCGATATGGTTATGTTCGATATGATTGTCTAATGGAACGTGTTTCATGTATTAACCAAACAATGCGTGACGTTCTGTGTCATTATTATATTTTTTTGGAATTGATTAACGATTTGTATACACTGTATGTGATAAAATATTACCACAACAAAAAGAAACTTGATGGGAAGTAATTTCATAGAATAAGAATGTTGTACAAAATTTTTGTTTAATCACATAACGCTTCACAAAGTTTTACTAGCTGTTAACTATTAATTTAGCACTCAAAATTTTTAGATTATTAATTGACTCAAAGTATGCTTCTTTAATAGTCGACATATGTTTCGCACAAATTCACGCTGTCACAACATATTTCTTTTTTAGGAATTATGCAGATCTCGTGTTACTTAAAACTTGAAACAACTTGTTGCAAAGTTGCAGTTACAAATGACGAATAAAGAAAGTCTAAATTTGTATCTTAGTTTTTAAGAACATAAAGCGAGTAAGTGGTTTTTTTGAACTTTTTCAACTTCAGACTTGATGTTGCAGCTCGAGAGGTTTCTACTTTGCTGCTTTTTATGCATCGGTTAGCCACTGTCTGATCCAAGTTCATAATTATGGCTTTTTGCCTTCAGTTTTATAGTACAGAAGGAAGCAGTAAGTGTCTGCAACATTAACAAGTATACTCGACGACCTTCGCATCACCCGGAATTTTGTTGATAAAACGCACAAGAGGTTTGTTAAATTAGAAATATTTGCTATTTTGTCTGGTTAATTAAAAATATACAAAAAATACAAATTTGGTTATTTATAAATACTTATTTAAAAATACTTCCAAGCTCAACTTGTACAGGAAATAATTTGATATTCAAGAATTTACAAAATAAAATGTATTTGGAGGCACCATAAAATTGATTATTTAAATGAAACTACCCTTTTTTTCAGCATTAAAGAATATCTCATTTAAGAGATTACTCTTTCCACATTTTTAAGTTAAAATTCATAAACTTGCATACAATGATTTCAAAAATATAAAAACTACTAATTTGTTACACATAATTTTCTCACCTTCGAAACATAAGATTTTTTTTATAGTTTCCATGGATGACATCAACTTCGTGATGTCGATTTATGTTTCAATTATGATGTGCGTGATGTAACACTTACCATAAAGTTATACTACATCCTCCAAATTTCAGGGAAATTAACTGAGTTTTATGAGGTAATTTCTAACAAATATGTTTTTTTAATTATTTTTTGTGAAACATCCGGTAGAATTAATTCAAGAAAAAAGTATATTACTGAAAGATAAGTAACACTGCATTTATGTGATTATTATTCATTGGGGATATATTAATAATTTGGTAGAAAATGCACGCATGTCATACTATGAATATTCGCGATGACGTAATCAGTTTTATAGAAGGAATGAACATACACATAAATTTTGATTAGTGCTGTATCATTTTCATAACATCAACTAATAGCTAATTTCTCGAAATAATCGGTTTTGCAGTTTCTAAAATTATCTACCACGGTGACAGATCATTAAGCAGAGATGTTGCATTCTGCATTCTGTGAATTGTGACATAACAAAAAAACGGCTTCAGTTTGTTGTAATAACCTGATATGCAGCTTGTTAGTAATTACGAAATTCGATTCATTTTGACAAATTGCATATCAGCCTAGTTACGAGCAGCGATTAAAAGGCATTCGAGCATCAAGTAATTAATTCAAGGTAACCTTGTGACGTTTTAGGTTGTGAAAGATAAAAGTATTTAAAAAACAAACATCTACACATTCTTGTAAAAATTTGTTAAATTTATTTAGACAACACTTCCCTCAAGCAAATACAGTTTCTTAGATACATTAGAAAATTTGATTTTAGGAATTTTCTTTTTCACGACATTCCTGAAAAGTTAAAACAACAATTGGATTGTTAAATTATTATAGGTTAGGTGTATTTCAAGTGAGTTTTTCAATATTTGTAATCATTAACTTTTTTGTCAAGACGAACAAAGGGAGACAAAAAATGAGAAAAAAGGATGAACTAGAATAAAGACACGTCAAAATAAGTCCATCAAAAATGCTACTAAAAGAGGAGAGCCATAAAAAAGGCGATAACAAAAGCTCACAAAAATGACGACAAAAAGAGGGCCAAAATTCCGCTACCACAAATGAAGTGATAAAAAAGAGGATCACAAAAAATAACAAAAAGGCTCTAAAGCTGCTCAAAAAATGGGCCAAAAAGTCCACAAAAAAGACGACCACAAAAAAGTGACAAACAAGAAAAAGCGACGATAATAGACGGAAGCAAAAATAGGTCAAAAACTGTAACAAAAAAAGACAATGAATAAAGGATAAAAAGGCGACAAGGAATCCATAAAAAAAGAAAAATAAAAGAAAATGACTAATACAAAAAGTAATTAAAATAGGGGGATAAAAACGCACTAAAAATGCAACTAACAGAAGGGAGTCAAAAAAAGCGACAAAAAACGCTGCAAAAAAATTACAAAAAAGGCCCCACAAAGCAGGTCACAAAAAATCAACGAAAGACGCGACTAAGTAATAAAGCATAAAAAAAATTCACAAAAAACTAAAGACAAAAATCCGTAAAAAGGGTGTCAAAAAACGAGAAAATAGGAGAAAAGGAGATCAAAAAGAGGACAAAAAGCCCTATGAAAAAAAAACACAAAGTCCACAAAAAGCGACGAAAGCAGAAGACAAAAAATTGGTCGAAGGTTATTTCAACAGAACTTTTCTCGCCCTTAAAGTACAATAAAACAAACTCAGAAAAATTATAAAATTTGTTTATAACGAATTTTATTTTTTTTTATGAGAACCCTTGTAAGCTAAAATAAAAATATGACATGATGATTTGACATGTATCTAACGTGAAAATAAATTTAAGAAGCATGCTGTGTGTGCATTTCAAATGAGTTTTTCCTTAACAAAATTTGGTGATGTCAAAAACATTTTTGCAAAGATGCGTATATCACTTTGGTGCAGTATAATACTAATGATAACAGTACTGTATTTTCATATTTTTGAGAAAATATAGTGAGCCGTTCCCGATTTCAGTAAAATAAAGTTACTCATTCATTTTTATGTGTCACCCTGTACAAGGTATTTAAAAAAATTTAATGCAGTAATAAAATACAAGCATAGACTTACCATATTTTGCACATTTTGGATAGGATTTACTCTGTAAAAAAAATAAACAGATATATTTTGATTAAAAATTTACCATGCTAAGTTTAAAACGTCCGCAAGATTTCAGAACATTAGGACCCGATTTATAAAAAGCGAAGTTAAAGTTAATTCGCGATTAACTTTTAACTGAGGTCCGTTGCGAGGCAACGCGCATATTTTAACCAATCACGGGCTCATATTCCACATTTTAATTCTCTGTTAAACTAATCGAGAATTAAATATTTAACTCGCTGTTCTATAAACCGGCCCTAGGTTGTACACTCGTGCGGTTCTTGATTTAATCAGTAAAATAAATTGACTCTATTTTTAATTTTTTGAGTGTGCGTTGATAAACCACAAGTATGCAGTTATAATATTTTGCATATTTCCGAGAAGATTTACTTGGCAAAATTTTGATATGACGTCATTGGTGTTTTGGAGGGGACAAACGAATAAATTTTCCTCAACGATTTACCGTGATTACGATAACATTAACATATTTACAATTCAGAGCATTCGGTTTTGCAATTTCAAAGTTAAATTGTAAAATATTTTTATCCAGTTCTGAATTTTTTACAAAAATCTGAATGTTTAGGGTGTCAATTCGACACGGATTCATACATCAGGTGCAAGTGCAGGAGTATCTTATTTTATAAAATTTGAAAAAACTTATTTATAAATTTTGGAGATGGCGTCATCCCTTTGGTGGTGGGGATGATTAGCTAACTTTAGTTAGCATTTAACCATCTACATACATCACCCTAGTATACATACAAAATTTGACAACAATCGGTCCGGTAGATTTGGAAATTACTTGCATTATAAAAATGGATATAGACACAAAACAGACAGACAGACGGACAGACAGACAGATGGAAACGGGTGTCCACTTTTTTCGTAATCTAGAGATCATGACACGTTGAGAAAACATGAAAGTGGCAATTCGGCCAATGGACTCGATTACTATACTTCTTTAGCTTACGCTCGGGAAGTAAAAAATCAACAAAAACAGAAGACAAGCGAAAACGGACTGAAAACCCGACAAAAGTGGACGAAAAAGGTGACGACGCAAGAAGTGTCAAAAAAAGTGACAAAAACCTTCATAAAAAATGGAAGTAACAGAAGGAGGTCAAAATAAGTCACAACAAAATGTGACAAAAAGAAAAAAGTCCGCAAAAAATACAACAAAAAGAGGGTTTATAAAAGTGACAAAAAATAACATAAAAGGTTACAAAAAGCGACAAAAAAGTCATAAATAAGATAATGATATGGTAAAATTCAACAATTCAAGAATGCCGTAAATTGTTATTTGTATAGTTGTTTTTGCTTTTCAATTAATTATGTATTGGTTTTTTTTGGCGTAATAAACTTTATTTATTTATTTTATTTAACAAATGCTTGCCAAAGAGAGGACAAAAAATATCATAAAAAATGTGAAGAAAAGGTCATGACTAAAAAGTAACTAAAAAAGAAGCTAAAATCACAAAAAATTGCAACTAAAAGAAGAAAGCGAAAAAGGCGACAAAAGTGGACAAAAACACTACAAAAAAAGTTGGCAAAAAACACGATTACAAAAAGTGACAAAAAGGCAGTAAAAACGCACCAAAAAAAACGCACCAAAAAAAACACGACAAGATTACACAACGACAAAAAATCCGAGTAAGAGAAGGGAGCGAAAATAAGTCACAAAAAATGTTACAAAAACAGGCAAGATAACAAAAAGTCTATAAAAAAGGCGAAAAAACATGTGGAAACACAGAACCAAAAAGTCATACAATAAATGAAGAAGCTAGTTCCAAAAATTAGTAGAAAAGCGGAAAACACGGCAAGAAAATGTGAGTAAAACTAGGGGATCAAAAAAGTGACAAAAAGGCGATAAAAAGTCCATAAAGAAATCTACAAAAATACACGACAATAAAACATCAACAAATCGTTGAGCTACGAAAGTATAAAATAAAAGCAAAAAAGCTACAAAGAAGAAAAAAAAGAAAGTCGTGGGCGACACAAATTTTACAAAAAGGTGATAAGAAATGCGAAAACAAAAGACAAAAATCGCCACGACTGACTAAAAAGTAACTAAAAAAGGAGCCAAAAACGCGACAAACGAATGCGACTAAAATGATGGGGTTCAAATAAGCGATAAAAAGTCACAAATATGCGAAAAAAACAAGATGCTTAAAAAGAGTGTTGGTGGTAATAATCAAATAAATTTTTGTTGATGGTTTACCATGTCTACACGATAGTAATAAAATACATATATAATTTGAGAGCAGTCAGTTCGGTGGTTTCAGAGATTCTTGGTATAACAAACAACACAGAGGCCTTGAAACGTCGCCAAATAGGCGACTGTTACATTTTGGATACATTTTAAACTTATCGTGGATATGGTAAATTGATAATCAAAATTTATGTTTAGGATTTTTGGCAATTCTTTTTTTAAGTCAGTATTTTTACCAAAAAAAATCTAATTGTGCATCTCATAAACTTGAACAATAACAACAGCATGTGACATAAAAGTAAAAATTACTTTCCATCTCAACTATATTTTATATAATGTCCATCTATTCAATAAATGCCATCCACTGTTCTAAATGTAATAAATATAGCAACAATTTCACCCCAGTGCAGTTATACGAGCTAATAATTTATTTAGAAACGAGAGTTTATAGACTTTTACACATTTACAATCGTGCACTAAAATTGAATCAAAGTGAAAATCAACATCACGGGTTTTATTTGAATGTAGAAATACGGGTTTACACAACTGTGGGAAAATAGATATGTAGCAGAGGGAGTGCCTTTTTGTCAGAAACAGATATTATATACTTAGTTTGCTTTGCGGACCTGTTTGAGATTCAAACAGTTCATTTTCTTCCAAACGACGCTGTTGAACTATCAGATCAGCAAACGTTTTCCTTTATTAGCGGTCCTTGTAATGGGAAGACGATCATAGATAAAAATCAATGGTTGTACCAACATTCTACTTTCAGACGAGAATACAACGATCTGCTTTAAAAGTTTCGCTTAAATTGAAATAATACTTGATAAATATTACACGAAATTGCAAAATATTTAATTTTAATTAACAGGTTGATTTATTGTAGAAACTAAGTGAATACCGACATTCGATCAGTATATTCTCGGTGGTCTAAAAGAAACAAGAACCTATACTCTGAAATTTTTTACAAAAATAAAAATTTGTGAAAACCAATGATGTTTTCAGATTTTTTGCAATAATTAACCGTAAATGGTGGTGACACAAGTCTGCAGCTATGACGTTCCATGGACCGGTCCTCGCGATCCTGTTCCCGCCTTAATCCGGCACTGTCATAATTCAATGGCATTTCATTCGGTGGTAATCTAGAACATCCTTGAGACGCCTTTTCACATACCAAAGATGCGTGCAATTAGCGATGAAGAAGCTCGGGGCGTCTCGGCGAGTCCATCAAAACTCAATTAACAACTTGTTAGGAGCTATTTTCAATGAGGCGTTTAAGAAAACGTGGACTATATCGTTCGTTGAAGGTGTAATCCGATTAATGCATCGAGAATGCCCGAATTACTGCCATAATTTGCCCTAATGGAGTAGTGCTCGCTGGCGTTAGCCAGATTGTGACAGAACTTGCTCAAGAGAAACATCACATAGAAAAGGAAATGAGGAAATTAATATTTTTAGCGTCTGGCGTTTCTTTAATATTATTCAACCTGCAGGTCAAAGCATTTAAATTAATCTTTCCGCAAATTATATTTTAATTGGCGGTTTTGTTAGAAAGTCTATTAAGAAACAAATAATAAAAAAATTATATAAATTCTATAATTAAAAGAGCACATTGGGCAACTGAATGCCTTACAATGAGTGGGTAAGGTTAATGAAGCTTCATCCTTTTTATTGTTCTAAAAATATTCATCGTGGATCAGCTTCAGCTGACAGGTGACGCAGGTTTTCCTGATTATGTTTTTTCGTTCCGTCTCTTGATGCTTATCTGGAGCCGTCATTTTAATTTTGCTCAGTTGTTTGCGGCTACATTTGAGTGAGATATTTTAAATGTTATTGTTTTCTTGAAACAGACTTTTTTAAAAGTGGATAATAATTATTATAAAAAGGATCGGTTTAAAAAGGAAGTGTGTACATGAAAAAAAAACATTGTTTGAACTGTACTTAAGTTTTTGATTTGGTAAATAACATCTCCACTTTAATAAACGTTTACTCTATGAAAACGGACAACCAGGCACAAAAAATAAAAAAAATGCGTCAGCGTTGTGTTTAGTTCTCAACCTTCAAGCTTTAAAGAAATGCACCTTTTTGTATGTTTTGTTTAATTTAACAAATTACAGTTTTGCAGATATATCTAGAACTGAACTATGAAAAAATCTATTATGAAAAGTCACGACCAGAGGAGAATATTTAATGAACAAAGGAGAAATGTGTAAATTCCATGAATGTTAAAACACAGGAATATTTTTGCAAGCGTAGATTAAAACTAATTTGTGCTTTGTAGTCTGATTGCGGAAACCAAAAAATTAAAAATTTCCAAATGAAATATACTTCTTGTGGAAAATTACTTAATGTGTTTGCATGATTTTAATATTTTTTTTGTGTGTAGTTTACAATTTGCTAGCTAGTTTATTTTCTCCTTCGGAATACGAGTACATAACAAACAACTTCTCTGAAACTTATGGAAGCTTTCACAACTTCAGTGACGCTTGTGCACGCCCTCAGATAATCAAGAAGGAAGTGGTTGACAAGTCTTCCCTCGGCCCTTAAGTACAGTTCAACAAATCTCGGTTGTTTGCAAAAATAAAAAATTTGATTTTATGCAGTGTTAGTAGGGTACCCAGAGAGTTTTTTCAGGTTCTTTAAATAAGACAAGCAAGGGACACCGAAATTATCTCAGTTTAAAAAAAAAAGAGGACCCTAAGTTTTTTTTCAGCTTGTTAACGCCAATTATTTAATAAATATCACTATTGGGGTACCCGAGATTCTTTCAGCTTCAGTAAAAAAACACCATGGGA